AGAATTTTGCTGGATTTCACGTTACTTGTTGAGTCGCCATTAATTTTGAATATCTTTTGCAAAATATTCCTTCGTATTTCCTCTGTCAAATATTGTAATACTTAAGCATGTAGGTAAATATTTTACTTCGCTATCTTGACACTGGATATCAGATTTTTGTGTTTTAACAATTTTTTCCGCATTTCAAGTTTAAACTTTTACACAGTTTTTCGTCCGTTAACTTTCCTTTTTTGACGTAAACTTGCGTTGTTGAAAGTGTCATCATGAATTATAGCGTGCAGATCATTATGATATGGAGTTTCGTTGATAATATTTTTGTAACGACAGTACTTGAATTCATTATATTTCCAAGCTCCTATTCCTTCATCATTATTGGGTCTCATTTGAACTGGAAAGTTGGTATTGTTTTGTTGTGTTAGTTTTAAGACAAATGATTCATTATTTATATAGTTACTGTTATCGCAAGGCAATTGTAATATATCATCTACATTGGAACCGACGTAGTCCACGTCCATTGGTTGTGGTGACTCTCTTTCCTGATCTACATTTGAATTGACATCGTTAACATTCATGAACTCAATTGGATCTTCTACATTCGGTTCCTTAAAACAAACAAAAACTTTTAAAATATATTGTTATCAACTTAATACTCATATTTCCCTTACATTTGTATTGAAGTGATGATTTGCACAATTACAGTAAACTATCTTCTTTGACTTTTGTTTAGGTGGTTTCTGTGTATTTGTACATTTATAAGGACTCAATAAACATTTGCGCCTACGAATACAGCGACGATTTTCTTTATTTCTCGGATTATTTGCAACATTAGAAGGTGTAATTTGACCCACATTATTAAAAGTTGCGTTCACTTCATACCCTGCAGAAAGATAGACGTCGTCAATATCCATTGGCTCAACTGGATCGTCTGCTTGCACACCCTTAGAAGATATTGAAACTTAATATATGAAAATATGTCATCAATATTAAAACTAAAATTTGACTTACTTTTGTAGGCATGTGATAATGATATGTATCATCACCAAAAAATATTTCCTTAGGTTTCCGCTTACATACATTTTGTCTTCTTTTCCATTTATAAGTATCACATAAATTCCTATACCCACGACGTCTTCTTTTCTTCTTCTGATTCTTAGGAATTATCACATTTGGTTCTGGATCGATTTGCTGAGAAAGTAAGATTTGTGACTTACGCCTTGGATCGCAATTATAACGAAGTGTATCCTTATCAATACGTGTAATGATATTCATCAATTCCATATTTTTTATAGAGACTTTGATGTAAAACCTTAATCCTCTTACAGGTACCAAATTCCTCATATGATAGAGTACAGTGTTTATGAGAACAGATTCACTTAAGATCTCATTAAGGCCTTGGACCGAAGTCAAATCCTGAAGCGCATGATATACATGGCGATTAACTTTTTTTGGAACGTAAAATCTGTCCATCTTAGTGCATTTAATTTGAAAGAAGAATTATTTCAGCCCAAGCTGCTTTTAAACTTTAAAAGAATATTTAAAATTTTAATTTCACTAGTATTATAGAACATTTTAATAGTTTTTTCAGATACGTGTAAACAAAATCCAAATTGTTCAAATGTGTCCATGTGAAAACTGATATTACCTAATTTGGTCATCTAATAAGGTGAAACGAAAGTTATATTGCAAAAAGAGTAATGAGCATAAAGGAACCGACAAACACAACAAGACGACGAAAAGCAAACTGGTTGTATAGAAAATATATATGCGAATATTACTTAACTATGAATATTTCAGATAATGTGAATATTAATAAACTATATGTCATATAATAGACGATTATAACTCATATATGAACAAATATACTGTCCGTAAACTGTTTGAATAAAATTACCTTCAGGATTCAATTACCTTCAATGAATTCCACAATTCTAATACCTACATAAATAGAACATCTAAGCGAAATAGAATTTTTAGTAGAAAATAGAAAATATTAATATTTTATAAATATCTGAAAGCACTCACCAGCGGGTACAAGTCGACTCACGGCCAATTTAATTAAAAAAGTAATTTTGTATAGTAATTTTTCTACTATCAAAAAATTTAAACATATTTTAAAATAAAATTTTTATCTGCATCTGTCGAATAAAAACTTTTGAATTATAATTCATATAAAAACTTATATACTATACAACGATGACGAGATTCGAAATTTTTAAGAAATCAATAAGCACTGTATCTTGGAGAAATGGCGTAGAACATTTCTCCTTGTTTTTAGTATTGGTTGCACTGCTGGTCAAGCACTGCTGGTTAAATAACAGGCAGCTACTATATTCATCAAGTGATTGACCCAGATATATATTTGCATATTTAATGTATATTTATTTATGTAATATATTGTCGGACATACCTAACACTTCAAAATCTATATTTTTTAACTAAATCAAAACGTACTCAACACAACGGCTTCAACAGTTCGGGCACAGAGAACTTATATTTAAGTGTCCACAAAATGTATGACCAATAAAAAGGTTGAAATTAACTGTTCAAATAATAGGATGCCGCGAAAAACAACAAGACGACGGAAAGCTTCCTGGTTTATAACTGTTTTAAAGAAGATAATAAAATAACACCTAGGTTATGTGACAACAAAGGAATGGAAAATCTTAATATTTTATAAATATCTGAAAACTGGCACTTACCAACTAATATTGTCGACTCAGCATCTGGCAGTCACGCCTAATTTAAATAATAAAGTAATTTTGTAATAAAGCAATTTTTCCACTATCAAAAAATTTAAACAAATTTTTAATAAGAATTTTTTATTTATCTTCATCGAATAAAAATTTTCGAGTTTTCGAGTTATATGAAAAAAATATACAATGAAAACGAGATTCATTAAAGTAAAATGTTTTTCAACAGTTGATTCAACAACAGTAGAGTTGATCACAAACCGAGTTTAAAAATATACCTGAGTGGGTATTCCAATAGACTTGTGCAATGGCAGACTTATACCTGAAACCGACTTGAGTTCAAATAATAGCCAATTGTGTTATCGCGGAACAGCGTTCTACATACGCAGACTAGAGGTGAAAGTGCGAGCAGTTTCGATAGGCACGACTCCCCTATTCCGGTAAAAGTGAATCAACTTTACGATTCTATAAATTTGAGAAAGTCCATAATTTACAGGTCAACAGTGCAGTCAGGTCGGTAAGAAAAGAGGTTCTGAAGAATTTACATCTTCTCCTAGCCAATAATGGACACTGAGGACGCTACTTGAGATGGAACACTGCTTGGCTTACTCCTCATCTGTTGATCCACAACTATAGCAAAAGTCGTTGTAGGGTAGATCCAATTTTATAGCATGACTTCCTAGTAAGCACTGATCTGATAAAACCGATTACTGCAGATCTGAGCAGGTTAAAACTTAGTTGAATTAGCTGACTAATACGTTTTTTGTCCAGTTTGAGCCAGATCAATCTCGAAATCTGACAGCAGGGTTATCTGCCCAATTTTGTTAAACTATACTCAGGTATTTGGATTTGATTGCCAGTTTTGAGGTTGAAAGTGGGACATCAAAAACTAAGAAATGCATGTCAGTGAGCCTTGGGAAACTCGTCCGCCTTACAGTTGCCCGAGATATCCTTGAGCCACGGAACCCATATGAGCTAGACAGAGACACGCTTGGTTAGCTCTTTAAGAGAAACTCAGCATTATGGAATTGTTAATAATGTGACTGTAGTGACTACCAGAATTTATTTATATTACCACTTACTTGAATTCTATTTTGTATTAATTAATTTATAGATGTTCGTAATATGACTTTAATTTAGGTCTATAGGATGTTGTAGTGTATTCCAATTAGTTATATTAAATAAGTTATGTTAAGATCAATTTATCTTAAATAAGTTATGTTAAGAAGTTATGTTAAAAAATTTATTTTAAGAGAGCTATGTTAATGTTAAATACTTATGTTAAGAAATCTGGATTAAAAAAGTTTTGTTGAGGAAAATAATTCCAATATAACGGACTAAAAGTACTAAGAAGTGTGTATAAAAACAGAGCAAATTTAAATAAAATGATCATTTGAAATCTAAAATTTACCTTAAAAGATATCAATATAATGCTCCTATAGCGAAAATTGCTGAAATTCTGCTAAAAACAAGAATATCTTGCTGCCTTAGCGAGAATTCTTATTAGTTGGATAATCTGTTCCCTTAGCAGAAATCCCAATACATTCAAAATAATAGCTGAATATTATATATGACTTTAATTGGGGTCTATAGGATGTGATATAATTTCAAATGACTTCTTTATGGTGTTTGTATGCAACCAAGATCCCATATTTAATTGAGCTGTTCATTTTCAAAAACACAAAAATAATAATAGTCATCTTAGTATCATTGAATGTTTAGATTTTAACTCTGATCACTCACCAGTAATTCTATTAGTTTCACATAAACCAACACTAATCCATAGATCGGCAAGACTAGACCGACCGAAGCAATTTCATCTAAAATAGGAAAAATAAATCCCATATCAAGAACCTATTAATTTATTAGTAATACGTAAAGAACAGTAAATTCTACGCAGTTGACAATAAACAGGATGGCCAGTAGATCAACTAATCATACATGGAACCTTCCCTTTCAATTTCCATTTCACCAACTAGTTAAATAACGACATGGCTTTTATACTCCAAATAAAGTAGTTCCACATAGTCGACAGATGTAAATTGGAAGTATTTAAGATAATATTAAATCTAACAAGACACGAGATCTAACGAGATCGGCGCGTATTTTAATAATTGTATTTATTTATGTTGGCAACTCTGCCAAGATGACAGTTGACAGATAAAGTAGAATTAACATTTTAATTCTGTCAGTTATTTTGAACTTGTGAAATAATAATAACTTGGAGTTTTTTGAAGAAATAAATATCTAAATTATACAGATATAACAGTGGCGACGAGGATATTTTTTTTTTTGCATTACATGAAAAATATATGTACACAAAAAAAAAAATGAATCCACAAGAATTCAAGTTATTTTTCCAAGAAATGCAAAACCAACGTGCGAAAGACACCGAAGCAATGCGTGAACTTTTCAAGGAGTGTTTGCAAATGAAAGCAGTTCCGAAAACAGAAAAACCGGAGCAAACAATGGAGATTTTAGCATCGAGTCTAACGGAATTTGTTTATGATCCAGAAAATAACTTAACATTTGAAACGTGGTATACGAGGTATGAAGATTTGTTCTTAGTAGATGGTAGCAAACTTGATGACGCAGCGAAGGTCAGGCTACTATTAAGGAAACTCAGTACAACTGTGCATAACAAATATATGGACTTTATTTTGCCTAAGCATCCACGTGAATATAATTTCACTACAACAGTGGAGAAATTAAAACAACTGTTTGGACTCCAAAAGTCACAATTCAGCTTACGCTATAGCTGCTTACAGTTAACCAAACCACCAGATGCCGACTATACTACGTACGCAGCCGAAGTTAATAAACAATGTGAAAATTTTAAATTGAATAGCCTGTCACTGGACCAGTTCAAATGTTTAATGTTCGTATTGGGGCTGAAATCGGAAGCAGACTTCGAAATAAGAACCCGAATATTGACCAAACTGGACACAGAAGCTGATACCATCAACTTGGAAAAACTTACAAACGAGTGTCAGCGTATTATTAATTTAAAATCCGACACAGCGCTGGTAGAAAATAAATCACGTGAAAATCAGGTGAATCGAGTACAAGCAAATAAGCTTAAGAACAATCACAAACCGAAAACACCATGCTGGTTTTGTGGAGCAATGCATTATGTGCGTGACTGCCCATACAAAAATTATAAATGCGAAGACTGTCACAACATAGGCCATAAAAAAGGTTATTGCAAAGCGAAAAATTTATCAAAATCAAAATGCAATAGCAACAACAAAAATAATAGCAATGGTAAAGCAAAAACATTTTCACAGCCACGATCCAACAGTATATACACAACGAACAGCATCACAGCTTCACAGCGTAAATATGTCCACGTTAAAATCAACAATGTGCGAATCAAATTGCAATTTGATACTGCATCGGACATAACTATCATTTCAAAATTTAATTTCGACAAATTAAATATTTTAAATACAATGGAAGTACAACCAGAATCTGCTAAAAGTGCAACTGGAAACTTACCATTGTACGCAAAATTTACATGTGATGTGCAGTTAAAAGACACAATTAGAACACTTACGTGCTTCGTTACAACGATCGATTTGAACGTATTCGGATTGGACTGGATAACTGCTTTTCAACTTAGCGATATGACGCTTAATGCTATTTGCAGCCAAATTTCAACAACAAAACAGGCAAGTAATGTTTCAATAAAGTCGTCAAATTGCAAATTTCTTCCGGAAAAATTATTTCCAGAACTTTTCGATAATGCTATGGGTCTTTGTAATAAAACTAAGGCACATTTAATTATTAAACCAAACTGTCAACCTGTTTTTCGACCTAAGCGCCCGGTAGCATACGCAGTTCAACATTTGGTTGAAGAAGAAATCAAGCGACTTCAAGATCTCGACATTATCGCACCCATCAATTACTCTGACTGGGCCGCACCAATCGTAGTTATCAAAAAGCCAAATGGTAGCATTCATATTTGCGCTGATTTCTCAACTGGTCTTAACGACGCGCTTGAATCTTACAAGTATCCACTACCGCTTCCAGAGGATATTTTTGCAAAAATTAGCAATGCAACAGTATTTAGTCATATAGACCTTTCGGACGCTTTTCTCCAAATCGAAGTTGATAGCAAATCGCAAGAACTTCTCACAATAAACACGCATCTAGGTTTATTCAAATACAAGCGTATGGTTTTTGGCGTCAAAACTTTTCCGGCAATTTTCCAACAAATTATGGATAAAATGCTTGCGGGTTTAGATTGCGCAGCTGCTTACATTGACGATATCTTTGTCTCAGGTAGAAACCAACAAGAGCATGACAACAACTTACATGAAGTTCTACAACGTATTTATCAATACGGGTTTAAACTCAAGATCGCAAAATGCAATTTTTCAGTTCCTGAAATTGCTTACTTGGGATATATTGTCAGTAAAGACGGCATTCGCCCAGATCCAAAAAACATTGAAGCAATCAAGACAATGCCTGCGCCAACCAATCAATCCGAACTTAGATCACTCTTAGGTGCTATCAATTTTTATGGAAAATTCATAAATCACATGCGCAAATACCGAGGACCATTAGACGAACTACTTCAAAACAACAAGCAGTGGCAATGGACGGAACTTCATCAACGCTGTTTGAATGGTTTCAAGCAAATTTTGTCATCAGAGTTATTATTAGCGCATTACGATCCACTAAAAAACATAGTAGTCGCTGCAGATGCATCTAACTATGGGCTCGGAGCTTGCATTTTTCATGAAGCTGACGACGGTTCAATGAAAGTAATATGTCATGCATCCAGATCACTAACGCCCACAGAAAAACAATATAGCCAAATAGAAAAAGAAGCTCTTGCGCTTATTTTCGCGGTTACGAAATTTCACAGAATGGTTTTTGGGAGAAGATTCAAACTTCAAACAGATCATAAGCCTCTTCTAGCTATATTTGGTGATAAAACGGGAATTAAGGTGCATCAAGCAAATAGACTTCAACGTTGGGCAATTAAACTGATTGCATACGACTTCGAATTAAAGTTTATTTCAACTAACAGTTTTGGGTATGCAGACGTTTTATCACGACTCATACATAACACAATCAATCCTTCAGAAGACTATGTCATCGCTGCAGTAGAGTTTGAAATTGAAAGTAAACAAATTTTACATAACTCACTTGATAAGCTGCCGCTTACCAGCAAAATGATTACTTACGAAACAGCTAAGGACAAGGTTTTAGCTAAAATTCTCGAATATGTAACTGAAGGATGGCCATCAAACTGCAACAACAGTGAGTTAAAAGCTTACTTTAACCGAAAAAACGACATATGTATAGTTGACGGATGTTTAATGTTCGGACAACGCATTATTATACCTCAAATTTTCCGAAAGCGCATTCTTAAAGAAATTCACCGAGGTCATCAAGGCATAGGTCGTACTAAAGCCATCGCGCGGAACTACGTTTATTGGTCAAATATCGATCACGATATTGAAGCAATGGTGAAAAGTTGTTCAAATTGTGCCGCAGCAGCTAAAATGCCCACAAAAACAACTTTACATCCTTGGCCAAAACCTTCTGATTCTTGGGAACGGCTCCATATTGATTATGCAGGACCAATAGATTCATACTACTATTTGGTCGTAATCGATGCGTTCTCAAAATGGCCAGAAATTATACAAACAAAATCTATAACAGCAACTCAAACAATTTCCAGCTTGAAAGAAATTTTCGCTAGATTTGGGTTACCGAAGACAATAGTTTCAGACAATGGTACTCAATTTGTGAGTCACCAATTTCAACAGTTTTTAGCGGAAAACGGCATTAGTCATATACGAAGCAGTCCGTACTATCCCATGTCAAATGGACAAGCCGAAAGGTTTGTGGATACTTTAAAGCGAGCACTCAAAAAGTTAAATGGGAAGGGGGTAACTGCTGAAAATCTTCAAACATTTCTACAAGTTTACCGATCAACTCCGAATAAGCAAAATGAGGACAGTAAATCGCCAGCTGAAGTTTTACTAAAAAGAAAAATCCGTATTAAACTTGACTTGATTAAACCAACGCTGGTGTCAGACCCAAATGTCAAGTTTAAAAACAAGTGCGATACACAACTCAAAATGAAAGCGCAATTTGACAAAAGGCATGGTGCAAAGCCAAAGTTTTACGAAAAACAAGAGCTCGTTTATGTCAACATATTCAAAAACAAACACTTTGAATGGACAAAAGGTAAAATAATCGAACGCATAGGTAACGTCATTTATAATGTTCGCTTACAAAATGGCAAACTTATTCGTGCACATGCCAATCAAATTCGTGACCGAAAAGATCAAGGAAATGAGTTATCTTTAGAAATATGTACTTCCGAAGATATCGCCAACGAAAAGTGTTTAGTTGATGCATTTGGCCTCTACGAAACAACACCTAAAGATGTGGTCGAAATAACTAACAACAACATGGTTTCGACTCCAGATCAATCTTTCAGCGAAGTAACCGAGATTGCAATCCCTCAAACTGAGAAGCACAATGAGGCAGTTGTTCCGTATACACGACCAAGGCGTACTAGACATCCTATTGACAGTTATAGACCCTAGAATCACCGCATTGGAGATTTAATCTCAAAAGGGGAGGTGTTGGCAACTCTGCCAAGATGACAGTTGACAGATAAAGTAGAATTAACATTTTAATTCTGTCAGTTATTTTGAACTTGTGAAATAATAATAACTTGGAGTTTTTTGAAGAAATAAATATCTAAATTATACAGATATAACAATTTATTTCTTATAATACAACTAAATAACTAAAATACTGTTATTAACTATATTTTTAAGTGAACTCCTTTCTTTATATTATAATAATATTAGTTATCTGATCGATTTGTTTTATTTGGAAAATGTTTTTTATATCTTCTCAACTGCTTCATATTTACTATAAAACTAAGAAGCCGTTCGTTCAAGTATTACTTAACGCACATTCTTATCATTTTAGAACCCCTCTACATTATTATGGTGATACAAAAATAATATATTTGCTTAAACTGGTCATCAATTGCACTAAATGTGTTTTAAAAAATAATAAAAAAAATTTGATTTTGAAATAAATTAACGATGTAAATAAAAAAAATATAAAAAGGAAAAATATTTATTAAAAAATAATATATATCATTTTTCAGGTGCAGATTTACCTTAAAAACAAGCCTAATCATAAAGTCGGTTATAATAAGATTTATATAGAATGATTTCATAATATCAATAACATTGTTTTGCACAGGCATTATCTATAAATCAAGCGTCGTTTTTTTACGATCCACCTGTGAACTACGATTTCTATTATTTTTTACTACAAAAGCATACAAATTTATTCGTTATGTCTTACACACTTTGGTAAATTTAGACTCTCTATATGTCACAAAGAAGTCAGCGGTTAATCACGCAAAAGTCAATTGCGTGACAGATGAAAAATTTTTTCTTATAAATCTTTTGTTAAACAGGAGGGTATATACTTGAGATAATGTAAAAGTTGGAACTGAAAAACACCAAATTATCACTCATTGATAACATTCCACCAGAGTCACTAAAAGCATATCTATTAGACATAGTTGAGCCAATACATCCGCTCTTTTCGTTTTTATGAGAAAGTGGTATTTTGAACAGTAAATAAATGTCTTTTACCCTTAAAGATGTTTTCCAGCATCTTGCTCAACCCGATTACGGAAATACTAGACTCAACCTTAAGAAATCAGTGAATAAATTTCTTACATTACTCACATCGTTGAACATATTTGCGAATCTGACTCGACAGCTTAGAGAAGAATAAAATTTCGAAAACGCTATATAAAATATTATATCATTTATCAAAGCACACTACGAGGAATATGGCTGCCAACTTAAATCATATGAATATGCCTGTGTTGTTTTCAGAACCATACAAAACTTACTCCAGCGTGAGACAAGGTTGTGTCCTTGAAAGTATGTCGTTAAAAAGTGGCATAGAAAAAAACGAAGAATATCGAACTGTGTCAGTCTTGATAGAACGAAGACGAAGGTAATGATAATAAATGCGTGAAGCTTGGAAAATTTTAACATTAACAACAAAAGAAAACCTATAGACCAGTTCATCTGTCTAGGTCACGCAATCCGAGCAGCTGGGGACCACAAAAGACCACAAAAGACATGCTCATTCAAATCACCAAATCCACAACCACTTTTGTATATTTACTTAGAATAATGCCTGACTTGTTTCTCAATTTCTTTATTGCGAAACGCCACTGTTTTCGGAAGTCTAGTCGTATCAACAATGTCCATCAGTTATTTTAGTCATATACATACTAATAACATCACGCAATTATGATTGTGTTCAAGATAATTTATTTAATACATCAGATTTAATGAGACACCAACAAATTTAGATGACGAATCTAAATAATATCATATCTATCGATTTCTTACAATATATATATGTTAACTATTCTAAAGAATCTTTCATATATTCAATATATTTCTGGTTAGAATTTTGCTGGATTTCACGTTACTTGTTGAGTCGCCATTAATTTTGAATATCTTTTGCAAAATATTCCTTCGTATTTCCTCTGTCAAATATTGTAATACTTAAGCATGTAGGTAAATATTTTACTTCGCTATCTTGACACTGGATATCAGATTTTTGTGTTTTAACAATTTTTTCCGCATTTCAAGTTTAAACTTTTACACAGTTTTTCGTCCGTTAACTTTCCTTTTTTGACGTAAACTTGCGTTGTTGAAAGTGTCATCATGAATTATAGCGTGCAGATCATTATGATATGGAGTTTCGTTGATAATATTTTTGTAACGACAGTACTTGAATTCATTATATTTCCAAGCTCCTATTCCTTCATCATTATTGGGTCTCATTTGAACTGGAACGTTGGTATTGTTTTGTTGTGTTAGTTTTAAGACAAATGATTCATTATTTATATAGTTACTGTTATCGCAAGGCAATTGTAATATATCATCTACATTGGAACCGACGTAGTCCACGTCCATTGGTTGTGGTGACTCTCTTTCCTGATCTACATTTGAATTGACATCGTTAACATTCATGAACTCAATTGGATCTTCTACATTCGGTTCCTTAAAACAAACAAAAACTTTTAAAATATATTGTTATCAACTTAATACTCATATTTCCCTTACATTTGTATTGAAGTGATGATTTGCACAATTACAGTAAACTATCTTCTTTGACTTTTGTTTAGGTGGTTTCTGTGTATTTGTACATTTATAAGGACTCAATAAACATTTGCGCCTACGAATACAGCGACGATTTTCTTTATTTCTCGGATTATTTGCAACATTAGAAGGTGTAATTTGACCCACATTATTAAAAGTTGCGTTCACTTCATACCCTGCAGAAAGATAGACGTCGTCAATATCCATTGGCTCAACTGGATCGTCTGCTTGCACACCCTTAGAAGATATTGAAACTTAATATATGAAAATATGTCATCAATATTAAAACTAAAATTTGACTTACTTTTGTAGGCATGTGATAATGATATGTATCATCACCAAAAAATATTTCCTTAGGTTTCCGCTTACATACATTTTGTCTTCTTTTCCATTTATAAGTATCACATAAATTCCTATACCCACGACGTCTTCTTTTCTTCTTCTGATTCTTGGGAATTATCACATTTGGTTCTGGATCGATTTGCTGAGAAAGTAAGATTTGTGACTTACGCCTTGGATCGCAATTATAACGAAGTGTATCCTTATCAATACGTGTAATGATATTCATCAATTCCATATTTTTTATAGAGACTTTGATGTAAAACCTTAATCCTCTTACAGGTACCAAATTCCTCATATGATAGAGTACAGTGTTTATGAGAACAGATTCACTTAAGATCTCATTAAGGCCTTGGACCGAAGTCAAATCCTGAAGCGCATGATATACATGGCGATTAACTTTTTTTGGAACGTAAAATCTGTCCATCTTAGTGCATTTAATTTGAAAGAAGAATTATTTCAGCCCAAGCTGCTTTTAAACTTTAAAAGAATATTTAAAATTTTAATTTCACTAGTATTATAGAACATTTTAATAGTTTTTTCAGATACGTGTAAACAAAATCCAAATTGTTCAAATGTGTCCATGTGAAAACTGATATTACCTAATTTGGTCATCTAATAAGGTGAAACGAAAGTTATATTGCAAAAAGAGTAATGAGCATAAAGGAACCGACAAACACAACAAGACGACGAAAAGCAAACTGGTTGTATAGAAAATATATATGCGAATATTACTTAACTATGAATATTTCAGATAATGTGAATATTAATAAACTATATGTCATATAATAGACGATTATAACTCATATATGAACAAATATACTGTCCGTAAACTGTTTGAATAAAATTACCTTCAGGATTCAATTACCTTCAATGAATTCCACAATTCTAATACCTACATAAATAGAACATCTAAGCGAAATAGAATTTTTAGTAGAAAATAGAAAATATTAATATTTTATAAATATCTGAAAGCACTCACCAGCGGGTACAAGTCGACTCACGGCCAATTTAATTAAAAAAGTAATTTTGTATAGTAATTTTTCTACTATCAAAAAATTTAAACATATTTTAAAATAAAATTTTTATCTGCATCTGTCGAATAAAAACTTTTGAATTATAATTCATATAAAAACTTATATACTATACAACGATGACGAGATTCGAAATTTTTAAGAAATCAATAAGCACTGTATCTTGGAGAAATGGCGTAGAACATTTCTCCTTGTTTTTAGTATTGGTTGCACTGCTGGTAAAGCACTGCTGGTTAAATAACAGGCAGCTACTATATTCATCAAGTGATTGACCCAGATATATATTTGCATATTTAATGTATATTTATTTATGTAATATATTGTCGGACATACCAAACACTTCAAAATCTATATTTTTTAACTAAATCAAAACGTACTCAACACAACGGCTTCAACAGTTCGGGCACAGAGAACTTATATTTAAGTGTCCACAAAATGTATGACCAATAAAAAGGTTGAAATTAACTGTTCAAATAATAGGATGCCGCGAAAAACAACAAGACGACGGAAAGCTTCCTGGTTTATAACTGTTTTAAAGAAGATAATAAAATAACACCTAGGTTATGTGACAACAAAGGAATGGAAAATCTTAATATTTTATAAATATCTGAAAACTGGCACTTACCAACTAATATTGTCGACTCAGCATCTGGCAGTCACGCCTAATTTAAATAATAAAGTAATTTTGTAATAAAGCAATTTTTCCACTATCAAAAAATTTAAACAAATTTTTAATAAGAATTTTTTATTTATCTTCATCGAATAAAAATTTTCGAGTTTTCGAGTTATATGAAAAAAATATACAATGAAAACGAGATTCATTAAAGTAAAATGTTTTTCAACAGTTGATTCAACAACAGTAGAGTTGATCACAAACCGAGTTTAAAAATATACCTGAGTGGGTATTCCAATAGACTTGTGCAATGGCAGACTTATACCTGAAACCGACTTGAGTTCAAATAATAGCCAATTGTGTTATCGCGGAACAGCGTTCTACATACGCAGACTAGAGGTGAAAGTGCGAGCAGTTTCGATAGGCACGACTCCCCTATTCCGGTAAAAGTGAATCAACTTTACGATTCTATAAATTTGAGAAAGTCCATAATTTACAGGTCAACAGTGCAGTCAGGTCGGTAAGAAAAGAGGTTCTGAAGAATTTACATCTTCTCCTAGCCAATAATGGACACTGAGGACGCTACTTGAGATGGAACACTGCTTGGCTTACTCCTCATCTGTTGATCCACAACTATAGCAAAAGTCGTTGTAGGGTAGATCCAATTTTATAGCATGACTTCCTAGTAAGCACTGATCTGATAAAACCGATTACTGCAGATCTGAGCAGGTTAAAACTTAGTTGAATTAGCTGACTAATACGTTTTTTGTCCAGTTTGAGCCAGATCAATCTCGAAATCTGACAGCAGGGTTATCTGCCCAATTTTGTTAAACTATACTCAGGTATTTGGATTTGATTGCCAGTTTTGAGGTTGAAAGTGGGACATCAAAAACTAAGAAATGCATGTCAGTGAGCCTTGGGAAACTCGTCCGCCTTACAGTTGCCCGAGATATCCTTGAGCCACGGAACCCATATGAGCTAGACAGAGACACGCTTGGTTAGCTCTTTAAGAGAAACTCAGCATTATGGAATTGTTAATAATGTGACTGTAGTGACTACCAGAGATTTAACGGCAACCTCACTGTCCACTGAATATTTCACTGGATATTTATATTACCACTTACTTGAATTCTATTTTGTATTAATTAATTTATAGATGTTCGTAATATGACTTTAATTTAGGTCTATAGGATGTTGTAGTGTATTCCAATTAGTTATATTAAATAAGTTATGTTAAGATCAATTTATCTTAAATAAGTTATGTTAAGATCAATTTATCTTAAATAAGTTATGTTAAGAAGTTATGTTAAAAAATTTATTTTAAGAGAGCTATGTTATTGTTAAATACTTATGTTAAGAAATCTAGATTAAATAAGTTTGGTTGAGGAAAATAATTCCAATATAACGGACTAAAAGTACTAAGAAGTGTGTATAAAAACAGAGCAAATTTAAATAAAATGATCATTTGAAATCTAAAATTTACCTTAAAAGATATTAATATAATGCTCCTATAGCGAAAATTGCTGAAATTCTGCTAAAAACAAGAATATCTTGCTGCCTTAGCGAGAATTCTTATTAGTTGGATAATCTGTTCCCTTAGCAGAAATCCCAATACATTCAAAATAATAGCTGAATATTATATATGACTTTAATTGGGGTCTATAGGATGTGATATAATTTCAAATGACTTCTTTATGGTGTTTGTATGCAACCAAGATCCCATATTTAATTGAGCTGTTCATTTTCAAAAATACAAAAATAATAATAGTCATCTTAGTATCATTGAATGTTTAGATTTTAACTCTGATCACTCACCAGTAATTCTATTAGTTTCACATAAACCAACACTAATCCATAGATCGGCAAGACTAGACCGACCGAAGCAATTTCATCTAAAATAGGAAAAATAAATCCCATATCAAGAACCTATTAATTTATTAGTAATACGTAAAGAACAGTAAATTCTACGCAGTTGACAATAAACAGGATGGCCAGTAGATCAACTAATCATCCATGGAACCTTCCCTTTCAATTTCCATTTCACCAACTAGTTAAATAACGACATGGCTTTTATACTCCAAATAAAGTAGTTCCGACATAGTCGACAGATGTAAATCGGAAGTATTTAAGATAATATCAAATCTAACAAGACACGAGATCTAACGAGATCGGCGCGTATTTTAATAATTGTATTTATTTATTTCTTATAATACAACTAAATAACTAAAATACTGTTATTAACTATATTTTTAAGTGAACTCCTTTCTTTATATTATAATAATATTAGTTATCTGATCGATTTGTTTTATTTGGAAAATATTTTTTATATCTTCTCAACTGCTTCATATTTACTATAAAACTAAGAAGCCGTTCGTTCAAGTATTACTTAACGCACATTCTTATCATTTTAGAACCCCTCTACATTATTATGGTGATACAAAAATAATATATTTGCTTAAACTGGTCATCAATTGCACTAAATGTGTTTTAAAAAATAATAAAAAAAATTTGATTTTGAAATAAATTAACGATGTAAATAAAAAAAATATAAAAAGGAAAAATATTTATTAAAAAATAATATATATCATTTTTCAGGTGCAGATTTACCTTAAAAACAAGCCTAATCATAAAGTCGGTTATAATAAGATTTATATAGAATGATTTCATAATATCAATAACATTGTTTTGCACAAGCATTATCTATAAATCAAGCGTCGTTTTTTTACGATCCACCTGTGAACTACGATTTCTATTATTTTTTACTACAAAAGCATACAAATTTATTCGTTATGTCTTACACACTTTGGTAAATTTAGACTCTCTATATGTCACAAAGAAGTCAGCGGTTAATCACGCAAAAGTCAATTGCGTGACAGATGAAAAATTTTTTCTTATAAATCTTTTATTAAACAGGAGGGTATATACTTGAGATAATGTAAAAGTTGGAACTGAAAAACACCAAATTATCACTCATTGATAACATTCCACCAGAGTCACTAAAAGCATATCTATTAGACATAGTTGAGCCAATACATCCGCTCTTTTCGTTTTTATGAGAAAGTGGTATTTTGAACAGTAAATAAATGTCTTTTACCCTTAAAGATGTTTTCCAGCATCTTGCTCAACCCAATTACGGAAATACTAGACTCAACCTTAAGAAATCAGTGAATAAATTTCTTACATTACTCACATCGTTGAACATATTTGCGAATCTGACTCGACAGCTTAGAGAAGAATAAAATTTCGGAAACGCTATATAAAATATTATATCATTTATCAAAGCACACTACGAGGAATATGGCTGCCAACTTAAATCATATGAATATGCCTGTGTTGTTTTCAGAACCATACAAAACTTACTCCAGCGTGAGACAAGGTTGTGTCCTTGAAAGTATGTCGTTAAAAAGTGGCATAGAAAAAAACGAAGAATATCGAACTGTGTCAGTCTTGATAGAACGAAGACGAAGGTAATGATAATAAATGCGTGAAGCTTGGAAAATTTTAACATTAACAACAAAAGAAAACCTATAGACCAGTTCATCTGTCTAGGTCACGCAATCCGAGCAGCTGGGGACCACAAAAGACCACAAAAGACATGCTCATTCAAATCACCAAATCCACAACCACTTTTGTATATTTACTTAGAATAATGCCTGGCTTGTTTCTCAATTTCTTTATTGCGAAACGCCACTGTTTTCGGAAGTCTAGTCGTATCAACAATGTCCATCAGTTATTTTAGTCATATACATACTAATAACATCACGCAATTATGATTGTGTTCAAGATAATTTATTTAATACATCAGATTTAATGAGACACCAACAAATTTAGCTGACGAATCTAAATAATATCATATCTATCGATTTCTTACAATATATATATGTTAACTATTCTAAAGAATCTTTCATATATTCAATATATTTCTGGTTAGAATTTTGCTGGATTTCACGTTACTTGTTGAGTCGCCATTAATTTTGAATATCTTTTGCAAAATATTCCTTCGTATTTCCTCTGTCAAATATTGTAATACTTAAGCATGTAGGTAAATATTTTACTTCGCTATCTTGACACTGGATATCAGATTTTTGTGTTTTAACAATTTTTTCCGCATTTCAAGTTTAAACTTTTACACAGTTTTTCGTCCGTTAACTTTCCTTTTTTGACGTAAACTTGCGTTGTTGAAAGTGTCATCATGAATTATAGCGTGCAGATCATTATGATATGGAGTTTCGTTGATAATATTTTTGTAACGACAGTACTTGAATTCATTATATTTCCAAGCTCCTATTCCTTCATCATTATTGGGTCTCATTTGAACTGGAAAGTTGGTATTGTTTTGTTGTGTTAGTTTTAAGACAAATGATTCATTATTTATATAGTTACTGTTATCGCAAGGCAATTGTAATATATCATCTACATTGGAACCGACGTAGTCCACGTCCATTGGTTGTGGTGACTCTCTTTCCTGATCTACATTTGAATTGACATCGTTAACATTCATGAACTCAATTGGATCTTCTACATTCGGTTCCTTAAAACAAACAAAAACTTTTAAAATATATTGTTATCAACTTAATACTCATATTTCCCTTACATTTGTATTGAAGTGATGATTTGCACAATTACAGTAAACTATCTTCTTTGACTTTTGTTTAGGTGGTTTCTGTGTATTTGTACATTTATAAGGACTCAATAAACATTTGCGCCTACGAATACAGCGACGATTTTCTTTATTTCTCGGATTATTTGCAACATTAGAAGGTGTAATTTGACCCACATTATTAAAAGTTGCGTTCACTTCATACCCTGCAGAAAGATAGACGTCGTCAATATCCATTGGCTCAACTGGATCGTCTGCTTGCACACCCTTAGAAGATATTGAAACTTAATATATGAAAATATGTCATCAATATTAAAACTAAAATTTGACTTACTTTTGTAGGCATGTGATAATGATATGTATCATCACCAAAAAATATTTCCTTAGGTTTCCGCTTACATACATTTTGTCTTCTTTTCCATTTATAAGTATCACATAAATTCCTATACCCACGACGTCTTCTTTTCTTCTTCTGATTCTTAGGAATTATCACATTTGGTTCTGGATCGATTTGCTGAGAAAGTAAGATTTGTGACTTACGCCTTGGATCGCAATTATAACGAAGTGTATCCTTATCAATACGTGTAATGATATTCATCAATTCCATATTTTTTATAGAGACTTTGATGTAAAACCTTAATCCTCTTACAGGTACCAAATTCCTCATATGATAGAGTACAGTGTTTATGAGAACAGATTCACTTAAGATCTCATTAAGGCCTTGGACCGAAGTCAAATCCTGAAGCGCATGATATACATGGCGATTAACTTTTTTTGGAACGTAAAATCTGTCCATCTTAGTGCATTTAATTTGAAAGAAGAATTATTTCAGCCCAAGCTGCTTTTAAACTTTAAAAGAATATTTAAAATTTTAATTTCACTAGTATTATAGAACATTTTAATAGTTTTTTCAGATACGTGTAAACAAAATCCAAATTGTTCAAATGTGTCCATGTGAAAACTGATATTACCTAATTTGGTCATCTAATAAGGTGAAACGAAAGTTATATTGCAAAAAGAGTAATGAGCATAAAGGAACCGACAAACACAACAAGACGACGAAAAGCAAACTGGTTGTATAGAAAATATATATGCGAATATTACTTAACTATGAATATTTCAGATAATGTGAATATTAATAAACTATATGTCATATAATAGACGATTATAACTCATATATGAACAAATATACTGTCCGTAAACTGTTTGAATAAAATTACCTTCAGGATTCAATTACCTTCAATGAATTCCACAATTCTAATACCTACATAAATAGAACATCTAAGCGAAATAGAATTAAATAAATTTTTAATTTTATAAATATCTATTTTATAAATATCTGAAAGCACTCACCAGCGGGTACAAGTCGACTCACGGCCAATTTAATTAAAAAAGTAATTTTGTATAGTAATTTTTCTACTATCAAAAAATTTAAACATATTTTAAAATAAAATTTTTATCTGCATCTGTCGAATAAAAAATTTTTGAATTATAATTCATATAAAAACTTATATACTATACAACGATGACGAGATTCGAAATTTTTAAGAAATCAATAAGCACTGTATCTTGGAGAAATGGCGTAGAACATTTCTCCTTGTTTTTAGTATTGGTTGCACTGCTGGTAAAGCATTGCTGGTTAAATAACAGGCAGCTACTATATTCATCAAGTGATTGACCCAGATATATATTTGCATATTTAATGTATATTTATTTATGTAATATATTGTCGGACATACCAAACACTTCAAAATCTATATTTTTTAACTAAATCAAAACGTACTCAACACAACGGCTTCAACAGTTCGGGCACAGAGAACTTATATTTAAGTGTCCACAAAATGTATGACCAATAAAAAGGTTGAAGACGACGGAAAGCTTCCTGGTTTATAACTGTTTTAAAGAAGATAATAAAATAACACCTAGGTTATGTGACAACAAAGGAATGGAAAATCTTAATATTTTATAAATATCTGAAAACTGGCACTTACCAACTAATATTGTCGACTCAGCATCTGGCAGTCACGCCTAATTTAAATAATAAAGTAATTTTGTAATAAAGCAATTTTTCCACTATCAAAAAATTTAAACAAATTTTTAATAAGAATTTTTTATTTATCTTCATCGAATAAAAATTTTCGAGTTTTCGAGTTATATGAAAAAAATATACAATGAAAACGAGATTCATTAAAGTAAAATGTTTTTCAACAGTTGATTCAACAACAGTAGAGTTGATCACAAACCGAGTTTAAAAATATACCTGAGTGGGTATTCCAATAGACTTGTGCAATGGCAGACTTATACCTGAAACCGACTTGAGTTCAAATAATAGCCAATTGTGTTATCGCGGAACAGCGTTCTACATACGCAGACTAGAGGTGAAAGTGCGAGCAGTTTCGATAGGCACGACTCCCCTATTCCGGTAAAAGTGAATCAACTTTACGATTCTATAAATTTGAGAAAGTCCATAATTTACAGGTCAACAGTGCAGTCAGGTCGGTAAGAAAAGAGGTTCTGAAGAATTTACATCTTCTCCTAGCCAATAATGGACACTGAGGACGCTACTTGAGATGGAACACTGCTTGGCTTACTCCTCATCTGTTGATCCACAACTATAGCAAAAGTCGTTGTAGGGTAGATCCAATTTTATAGCATGACTTCCTAGTAAGCACTGA